CCTCCCTCCTATGGCCCATATCTTTCCCCTGGGGTTCCGGAAACCCCTCCGGTACTCCGATATGTACCCGATACATTCCGGAACCCTTCCGGTGTCCGAATACTACCTTCCAATATATCAATCTTTACCTCTCGACCATTTCGAGACTCCTCGTCATGTGCATGATCTCATCCGGGACTCTGAACAACCTTCGGTCACGAAAACACATAACTCATATAATACATATCGTCATCGAACGTTAAGCGTGCGGACCCTACGGGTTCGAGAACTATGTAGACATGACCGAGACACCTGTCCGGTCAATAACCAATAGCGGAACCTAGATGCTCATATTCGTTCTCACATATTCTACGAAGATCTTTATCGGTCGAACCGCAATGTCAACATATGTTATTCCCTTTGTCATTGATATGTTACTTGCCCAAGATTCGATCATCGGTATCTTCATACCTAGTTCAATCTCGTTATTGGCAAGTCTCTTTACTCGTTCTATAATGCACCATCCCGCAACAAACTCATTAGTCACATTGCTTGCAAGGCTTCTTATGATCTGCATTACCGAGAGGGCCCAAAGATACCTCTCCGATACTCAGAGTGACAAATCCTAATCTCGATCTATGCCAACCCAACAAACACCTTCGAAGAGACCTGTAGAGCATCTTTATAATCACCCAGTTACGTTGTGACGTTTGATATCACACAAGACATTCCTCCGGTGTCCGGGAGTTGCATAATCTCATAGACGGAGGAATATATATTTGACATGAAGAAAGCAGTAGCAATACAACTGAACGATCATTATGCTAAGCTAACGGATGGGTCTTGTCCATCACATCATTCTCCTAATGATGTGATCCTGTTCATCAAGGGTGTGTTTGGTTGAGGAACCAACTGTCACGGAATGGAATGGTTCCATTCCAGAGGAATGGGTCGGTTCCGTTCCTGTGTTTGGTAGGTGCAAAAAAGTAGAATAGGTTGGTTCCGTTCCAGTGTTTGGTTTGGAAGAATGGAATGAAAAATAGAATAACAGAAATTTAAAATTTCGGCAACATTTCATTTGTATTTTCAAGAAAAACAACATAAACCTCAATTTTCAGCAATGAAGTAGCAAGTTCATTTGGCACATCCAGAAGCAATCAAGTAGCAAGGCAATCAAGTAGCAAGTTCATTTGGCACATCCAAAAGCAATCAACCATTACATGTCTTTAACATACAAATAACCAAAGCAAAGTTCGCTACAACCATACATGTTCACATACCCAATATCCAAGAGCAACCCAATGGCACTACAGCCATGCATACACGTCAAGTTCACATACTTGACAACCATACAACCATATCAAATTTAGAAAATTTTCTTCACATACCTACTCACCCAAACAGATTTGTTGGTTTCAGAGAGTTTCATGAAGGCTCTTGCGGTCTTGGGGTTGTCAACAAGATGAGCATAGTAGTGGGCAAGGTGCTCTTCATCAAACTCTTTCAAATTGGAGACTACATCCCAAAGATCATCAGGTATATCATCATCATCTTCACCAGATTTCACAAGAGCTTCAGCAACAAGTTTAAACCCATCTTTGAGAATGGCACCTAGTGGATCCTCTAGAACTTTCACCACCTGGGCCTTCTTTTTCGGTGGTCCTTTGGGGTGAGAAGACTCACCAACTTGTGGTGACGTGTTGATCTCACCATTCACCTCACCATTCTCCTCATCATCAACATCAATAGAGACGAGATCATTTCCAGACCTTGCATTCATCCCCTTAGCCCCGGTTGTTCCAAAAATGGTCGCCATGGCATGGTAGTGCTCAATTGGGTTATTCAAGAAGGGAGCATCAGGTTTGTGGGTCTACAATTTTTTTTTCAAGTCATTAGCAATAATGAAGGCAGAAAATGGGATGATATTGTTCATAATATGGAAGCTTACCATGCAATGACCTGCATAGTGTTCATCGCTGAGCCTAATTGTGCAAGTATCTTCATCCCATAGAGCTCCACTTAAATTCTTCAAATTGACAACCCTGACCCAAATCTTCCTCCACTTCTTGAGATGGTTTCTAACTTGATCAGAGGTGATAGCTAGCTTGAATTGCTTGTTCAGAACAGCAGCACATTGTTTGAGACGTGTCTCCCTGAATCCACTTGAAGTTATCTTCCCTTTAGCAACAAGGTCAGCCAAAAAACCTAGCATAGTGTTGGTCATGGAAGTTGTCCATACAATGACCCCACTTTTTTCCGGAGTTCCCACTTGCAGCGGTGACTTCAACATTGTCCATTTCTGTCCAGCCATCAAAAATTTGCAAAAGAATGGATTAAAGCATCTAAATTTATAAGTTACAATCTGCCCAGCCATGAAAATGTTGCAAAAACTAGTATGAAATCAGCACAAACACATGATTTAAACATATAAAAGATACAATCTGCCCAACCATCAAAATGTTGCAATAAAAGGATGAAATCAGCACAACCACATGATTTAAACATATAGAAGATACAATCTGCCCAGCCATCAAAATGCCGTAATAGAAAGGATGAAATCATCACAAATATATGGTTTTACATAATAAATACCACAATATGTCCAGCCATCAAATAAATGCAAAGATAGTTGCATAAACATTACAAATACATAGTGCGACACACTCATAAATTTGCATACATGAGTTGCCTATCTTCCCACATTTGGGTGACAATTTGTAGCCTATGGTCTACCAAGGCCCTATTATCACTTAATTGTTGCCTTGAAGTTTGAATTGGTTGGGTGGTCCATGTCACTTCTGGTATAATGAATTCATCGATCCCTTGTGATAGTGCATAATTATGAAGAACACAACAAGCTATAACAATGTCGACTTGGACTCGGAAAGTGAAGAAGGGTTTGGCATCATCTAAAATTTTGAAGCGCCTCTCGAGAGATCCAAAAGCCCTCTCTACCGTCACCCGTAGAGATGAGTGCCTAAGGTTGAATAGCTCCTTATCATTTTGGACCGAATTGTTGCCCCACTCATTCAAATGGTACCTCATGCCACGAAAAGGTGGTAAGAACCCAGGCTTGGCTCCATAACCAGCATCAACTAGGTAGTACTTTCCTAAAAATAGAAACAATTATTCGTTACAATGGTTTCTTAAGGCAGTAACATATGGACAAATTCTATCTAGGTCAACTTCTTACCAGGTGGTACTTGTAAGCCTCTCTCACGAGTTAATGCATCAGCTAAAACGGTCGCGTCGTGTGCGGACCCTTCCCAACCAGCCAACACATATGTGAACCGGAGGTCAAAGTCTACTACTGCCATCACATTTTGAGTGGTAAAGGCCTTCCTACCACGAAAAGAAGGTTCCACATCTTTGGTAACACCTGCTCGCACATGTGTACCATCGATAGCTCCAATACAATCCTATATAGTGACCAGTATTAAATGGCATATCATATAGCCTAGATATATAAGGAATAGTTTCTGAAATTACCTTAAAATATGGGTCAAATCAATGATTTCCTGCAATTTTTTTGGGAGTTTCCAATGATGGTGGCCTTATGTAATCATTACGAAGCTCGCCTATGGCATGAAGAGCCTTTCTAAAATAGATGCTGGTTGTGCCATATGATCTACAAAAAATGGCTGAAATAACCCTATTCCGAAGGTTATGCCCAATTGTATGCAAAAACTTTGCCAATTGTTGCTCAACACTAAGATGTGGACTATCTTCTAGCAAATTGTGATCCCTCAGTATGCCACACAAGCAAAAGATTGCAGCTCTTTCAAACCTTAGCATGTTTTTGCATAACACATCGCTTTGCCAAATTTTTTGGTTCAGATAATCAAATCTAATTCGATCTCTTTCATGCATTGGGCCATAGGTAATACGTGGTCTCCTCTTCCTTATTATAGCCCGAACAATGACTTCCATTGCAGCTAGTGCAACAAAAACAACGGCTCCCCTAGCCATCCTTTTTATTTTGTTCATCTTGCTTACCATCTACAAGTAATGCATAGTATTAAAAATATGGCTAGCAATGACTTGTAAACATGGATCTGGTTGTACAAAGCAGCACATATTGAAATAAAAATTGGGTAACCGTGGATCTGCATACTACATAGAAGCACATATATATATATATATATATATATATATATATATATATATGTGCTTCTATTAAGGAGGAACATGGCACACAGGAAATAAAAAATCTGCCCAAACATGAACATATACAGAGATATGCAAAGGGGTAATGGAAACCGTACCTTGCCTCTGCTGCTAGCTGCTGATCCAGACCTTCTAAAGCACCTCCGGTCGCTGCTGCGTGGTAGCCGCCCCGCTGCTTCGTCGCTGCTCCTTGGATTTGGGTCGAAGCAGCTGCTTCGACGGTGGCCGATCTGCTATGCCGCCGCTGCTTGCTAGGTCGCCGCCATGGTGCACATGCGCACCATCATAGATGAGACAACAGGAGGAAGGTGAATGTAACACCCCGAGAATCATGCTACAGTAACCCTCTGTTGATGGTGCCATGTCATCACTCCTACTGTTGCTAATCCTCATTTGCTTTCGAACTCAATTCAAATTCAAATCCTAACTATGAGTGAAATTTCAAAATTGCTCAAACATGAAAACAAAAATGTTGTGCCAAATATTCCACAACTAATATTGGTGGTGAACCAACATTTTTGCAAAGGGTTTAAGTGGCCTAAACTACTTAAAACAGTTACCTAAGCAATAAATTAAATGCCCTTTTTAATTTATAAAATTGGCAACTATTCCAAAAGCCTCCCAACCTTTTTTTGAGGCAGTGCACTTTAATTCTTTGAAATTGTTTTGGCCAGTGGCATAATTTTGCAAAGTCAATTGTGGCTAAAAGAAAATGGAAAAGCTGCTGGAAAAGAAAAGGAAAAACAACAAAAAGAAAAAAAAGAAAAGGAGAAGTAGAGGGGAGAGAGAGGCCCTCTGCCTCACTCAGGCTTCGGCCCACCCGAGCCAGCTGGCCCAACAGGCCGGCCCACACCCCCCTGGGCCGCCGCTCTCCCCCTTCCCCTGTTCAACCGACCGAGGGCACGCGCCCGCGCGTCGCCGCCGGACCACCTCGCCGTCGACGGGAGGGGATAAGGCCGCCCCGACGCCTCGGCCCCCTCGCCTCCCACTTGCCCACTTGCCCCCTTTCTCTCTCTCTTCTCTCGCCCACACGCTCGCTCCGCCCCTCCTCCCCTCCAGATCCACCTCGGCCGCGCATCACCGAGCGCCGCCGTCGCCATGGCTGCACCATAGCTGCGGCCACCGGCCACCCCACGCCTCGCCAGCACGTCCACGAGACGCGCCGGCGACCTCTACCTCGACTACGCCTCGCCACCGAGCTCGAGGAGCACCGCAGGCCACGGATCGAGCCGCCCCCTTCCACCTCGGTCGCCGGCGATCTTCCTCCTCTCCGGCGCTGCCCTCTGCTGCTACTAATCCTTCCACGGGCCTCCTTGAGCCGCTGCGGTGAGCTCCGTCTCTCCTCCCCTCCTTTCTGCTCCTCTACGAGCTCAGGGCGGCTGGTTCCACCATTGCCGAGCCCAGCTCCGCCGGTGAGCTCGTCGCCGTTACGTGAGCCACTGACATGGCCGCCGAGTCCCTTTCCGCGCTTACGACCTCGAGAAGACGCCGTAGGAGTAGCGCGCCGCCCGTTTTGGCCTTCGCTTCATCGCGCGCGAGTTCGTCGTGCTTCTGTTCTCCGCCGTCCCTGTCATCGGCGACGGCTCCGTCCATCCCAGCTCGCGTGGCCACCCGCGTTGGATGCGGCGTTGCTTACTCGCTCGAACGCGCCAACACGCGGGCCAAACGGCCCCTGTACATGGATTCCGGCAAGGTCCCGAGCACCTCCGCCGTGTTTTCTGTCGCCGGCGTTCAGCCGCCGGCCACTGCCAACGTGGCACACCTAGGGCCACCCCAGTGAGGCTGCCAGGGGGTCCCGGCGCCCCAGTTGACCACGTTGACTCTGGTCAACACAGTTACTGTGCATGACATATGGGCCCCGCCTGTTAATTAGGCTAACTAAAAGTTTTTATAAATAAAATCAACTTGTTAGACTAATTAGTCACTGACATGTGGGGCCCAACTACTAATTAACCCTTGTTCAATTAAAATAACCCATTGTTAGTCCACTGTCTATGACAGGTGGGACCCGCTGGTCAGTTTGACCTGGTCAGCCGTCCTGTTGACTGCTGACATCACAGTGATGTCATGCCGACATAGTATTTCTTTTCTGATAATATATTTAATTCCAGAATATGTTTAAAACTTAGAAAATTCATATAAAATAACCTGTAACTCGGATGAAAATGTTTTCTATATGAAAGTTGCTCAGAAAAATCCAACGAATCCGAATACGCGGTCCGTTCATCTGTCACATGCCCCTAGCATGCTGAACGTGGGACTTTCCCCCTCCGGTCACCTGTCTAACACAGGTCCGGAACCGAGAAAACATTCCCGATTGACTTCCCCCCTTGCCGGTATCGTGTAGCACCACGTTAGAACACGTCTAGCTCTGCTTGTTGTCCTGTTATGCTATGTTTGCTCTATATTTACTGTTTCTTCCCCCTCTTCTCTCCAGTAGACCCCGAGACTGATGCTGCCCATGTGATCGACTACGTCGACGACGACCCCTCCTTGCCAGAGCAACCAGGCAAGCCCTCCCCCTTTGATCATCCCGATATCGCCCATTCCATTCTCTCATGCTTGCATTAGATTTTGCTACTGTTATTGATTGCTCCTATTCTGATGCATAGCCTGCTTTTGTATCTGTTGTTGTACATTGCCTGCTTATCCTAAACTGCTTAGTATAGGTTGGTTAGTGATCCATCAGTGACCCCGACATTGTCCTTGTTGCCCCCTGCTTCATCATCGAAGACCCGATCAACGGGATCGAAGACCAGGCCCCGGCACCGCACATCACTTTCCCCTTAGTTGCTCGAGGCTGCTGGGTTACTATCGAGTGCCGAGGGTGAGACCTCTACATCACTTCTGATGTTAACCCTGTAGTGTAGCTATTCGGTCGTGGTCATCGAGGGTGATTCCGCCTTAACCACTTCCGATACGACTCTGTCGTGCAACCCCTCAAGTGTGAACCTTGGGGGTGATTCCTCTTATGTTCACCATGATGATTACATCGAGTGAAATTCACCAGGGGTGATTCCTCGGGTTTTCCCCTTGATGTTTGGACACACGGTTACTATGGTTACTAGACTTTACACTGAACCATGTTACTAAATACGGGTTGACCCTGAGGGGTGCCCGCGCGAGCATAATTGCGAGTGATGAGGAGTCGGGTTGACCTGGAAGGTGCCCGTGAGATAATTACGAGGTGTGACCGGGCATTCTTAGCCCTTGCCGCAAGTCCTCGAGATGGGGCAACGGGGTCACATCTTTCGTGAGTCTCTGCTTGTAACCGCGCATTCCTAATCCACTATGATTTGGATATTTGATCCGAGGGGCCTCTGGCCTGATAGCACTAACCATCACGTGGGCATAGTATGGGCGTTCTGCGTCGTATGCATCAGCCGAAGCTTAATAGATGTCAGCGACTGAGCGGCGCGCGCCGGGTTGGACTGGTTACGCCTTCTCTTGTATAAGGGAGGCTAGGTCTGCTCACCGGCCGCGTACGCAACATGCAGGAGTTTCCGTGGAGATGGCCCATGACCCCTGGGGGCATAGGTTTAGTCCGGCGTGCTGACCTCTCTATTAAGACTAGGTCGGGTTGCGGCGTATTGTTTGGCCAAGGCCAAGCATGACCCAGGAAAGTGTGACCGGCCGGAGTTAATCGAGCGTGGTGGGTAAGTTGGTGCACCCCTGCAGGGAAGAAAACATCTATCGATAGCCTGTCCTACGGTAACAGACACTTGGAGTTGTATCCCGATCGATACAACTAGAACTGGATACTTGTGATGAGAACTGGATGGTGATGAGATTTGGATTGTGATGATAACTGGATAGTATGGCTCTAGGATTGCTTTCTCGCAGGGAGTCGAGAAAGGATCTCTGGCCGAGGTTGATGACACTACTACTACTTACTTGATGCTACTCTACTTCCTCCTGTTGCTGCAAGATGGTGGCTTCCAGAAGATGCTAGTCTTCGATAGGTCTAGGCTCTCCCCTCTATTCTGACATTTCTACAGCCCAGTCCACATATACAACCTTCCTTTGATAATGTTGCATACATAGTGTAGATCTTTGCTTGCGAGTACTTTGGATGAGTACTCACGGTTGCTTTGCTACCCCTTTCCCCCCTTTCTTCTTCTTTCCGGTTGCTGCAACCAGATGTCGGAGCCCAGGAGCCAGATGCCACCGCCGATGCTTACTACTACGTGGAGGCTGCTGACGACCAGGAGTAGTTAGGAGGCTCCCAGACAGGAGGCCTTGCCTTTTCGATCAATGTTGCTTTTGTGCTAGCCTTCTTAAGGAAAACTTGTCTAACTTATGTCTGTACTCAGATATTGTTACTTCCGCTGACTCTTCTGTATTCGAGCTTATGTATTCGAGCCCTCGAGGCCCCTGGCTTGTAATATAAAGCTTGTATTATTTTAATTTGTGTCTAGATTGTGTTGTGATATCTTCCCGTGAGTCCTTGATCTTGATCGTACACATTTGCGTGTATGATTAGTGTACGATTGAATCGAGGGCGTCACAGTGAAGCCGGGCCGGGGAGGGATGGAGAAGGCAGATCGAGAGAGGGGGATAAGTGGGAGGGTGGTGGCGCTAGTCGAGAACAGCGAGAGAGGGGGAGATGTGGGAGCAGCGAGAGGAGAGGGATAAGGTACGGGCGAGGGGCGAGGGGCTGGTTCCCTGTCGTCCGGTCGATTTCAAGGTATGGCTCGGTTTGGCATAACGAGCGAATATTCCCTTTCCTGGGATGAGTGGGTTCTGAATCGTTCGACTAACTAAACGCAAGAATGGGCCATGGGAATGGGTCGGACCCATGACGTTCTACCCGGTGACAGCAACCAAACACA